TTTTTTGGTACGTGTGTGTCTTCCCTCCCCCCTCCCCTCTCAATCCCCCCCACGCCCCTCCTTGGGGTTGCCGATGAGATTTGGGGAAAGGGTGTAGAGTCATGTTCTTTCCTCTCTAAAAGCAAGCTTTCAAAATGAAAAAACAAAACAAAACAAAACAAAAAACCCGAAAAAAACAAAAAACAAAACAAACCCCACAAATACATCACTGTGGAACATGCAAGGAGAGACCTATAGTGGCTCTTAAAACATCACGAGAATATTAAAAAGACACAGATTATCTTAATAGAGACTAAACAAGAGTGGCAGCGACTCCCCCCTCCCTGCCCCCCCCAAAACAATGCTGCTGAGTAATTTCTTTAGAACTGATATGCAAGTCACTAAAAAGTTTTTAATCTTCACAAACAAAATCATGTTAATGTATTTATTTGCCCCCCCCGTTAATTTTTTTTTTTTAATTTTATTTGTTTTTCTTTCCACTTGACACGGTGAAGGAAAAATATATATATATAAATCTGCACTGGGAGAGAAACCTTTCAACGCCCCCTGCCCCCCCTCCTGGGGGCCTGGCTACCTCTCCTTCCCAGGCTCCCAGACCAGCCTCCTGGAGGTGCTCCGGACAGACCTGTTTTAACTCCCACCCTCACAGCTCAATGCAACAGACGTTTCCAAGCCCCCCTCCCTCCCCTCCCTGCCCCCCAGAAGCTGCGCCAGATCCCGGATACAGAAACCACGCCAAGAGGACGGGGCTGGCTCCCAGCACATTCTCTCCAGGGAGTCCGCCGGGCGCCCCTTCCCGGGCAGGGCTCACCCCGCCGCGGCCCACGGTTCGTTCCACACCCGACAAAGTGCACTGCAGACGCGACCGGACTGGAATGAAGCGACTCTCCTGGGGAGGGGGTTTAGGGGGACGCGCTGCGGGACCTGTCGGGCTTGGCCTCCAGGCCGCTGACCAGCCGCTGGATGCTCTGCAGTTCGCTGGTGGCCGCCTCTTTGTCGGGGCACAGTTTGGGCGACAAGGACACGGAGCCGGAGGACAGGGTGGAGGAGCGGCTGTTGAGTTCCGAGCCCGAGTCCACGGCGGCCACCGAGGCCGGGCTGGCGGCCAGCGCGGCGGCTTTGGCGTCCAGGGGCCCGGCGGCCGCGGCCATGGACGG